ATATGATATTTGTATTAGACAAACATTCTAACTATTAACAGTCTATTCTGACAAACATATTTTTGTCTTACAAATCTTCAAATTATTACAGATAGCATTATCTTTTATAGTTGACTTTTCAAGCATTAAATTTAATCCTTTTGGCTACGTCAACTGCCTCTCTCAACATCCTTAGACTCCTTCTGTCTCCCGACAAAGCAGTATGAAAAGCATTCATGCAATATGCAAATCCAATCTCTAACTCTTCATTCCATATAAACATGCTTCCTCCGCTTCCACCCCAACCGATGAATTCGACGTCTTCGAGGCCCTCCAACCTAAAATATCCAAGGCCACCAGCGGTAGCAACCATGTTCTCGTGAAGGACGACATCGTATTCTTCGGGTAATCTTTGTGTCAATATATTATAAGTGTCAATAGAAACCAAAGGCTTTTCGTTACTGTTAGGCAATGGTTGGCCACGGTTGGCAAACATAGCGGCGATCTTGGCCATTGATCGGGCGTTCGTCATTCCGGAATAGCTGGGTCCTTCGGCAATATGCATTTCTCGTCGGTTATAGGCAGCAGGTTGAGTTTGATCGGGTGCTGTGTGTACCAATGTTTTGAAGGTGACACTGTTACCCGACAACATATCTCCAAAGATTTTATGCAAAGGTGTGCCGAACATGGATACAGCCCAGTCGGGCAACAATAATTTTGCAAGTACTCTTAACATGGGGTATTCGTAAATAGTTGCAACTCTTTCTTCCATCTCTTCGCTCAATTTGTAATAGAAATCTATCCCATATTCGTTCGCAATTTCTTCTTGGAATATCTCTCCAACAGTTCTATTTTTCTCATCTACACGTCTTACGATTTCGTTCACATACCAGCCTCTGGTAACAGCATGATAAGCGCGAGTACGAACGCCATCGAAATTGTGTGGTTCAGCGGCGAGGATTTGGGCAAGATGGTCGAGATCATAAATGTCTTTGATTGTCATACGGTGATGAGATATGAATGAGACTCCAGCTCGGTGTGTCATCAAATCGCCTAAAGTTACATTTTCCTTGTTGCCTTGACCGAATTCAGGCCAGTAGGTTGAAATTGTTGTGTTGTAGGAGAGAATATTGCGCTCTACTAGACGGCTTACTACTAATGAAGTCTGGATAATAGAAAGACAAGGGGATATTAATAATTTGAAACAAGCCAGAGTTGTTGAGTTAATCTTTTGCTTAATAATTACTTACCATAACCTTTGAACTGCTAAATACCAGTTGCAAAGTATCTTCGTCATATTTTTGTTGAGAGTCCAAATTTCTAATACCACCAAGCAAATCAACAACTTTTTCTCCTTTGAAATAAATTGTCACACCAGCACCAATATCATCTCCATTCTTGAAGTTGTCCATAAATATCCGTTTCACATTTTCAAATTCCGGGCGAACATATCCGTGAACAGATACAGCCGGGCAACCAAATGAAGTTAATTGACATGAGGTAGGAAGAAAAGGACCGGCGGTGGCATATGCATAAAGGATATATAAGATAATTATGGGCGAGAAAAGGAGGACAAGACGTATGGGAGAAAGATTAGAGGATAAATTTGTGGAAAAACGGTGAAGGAAAGATCGAGAGATAAAAGAGAAGGATAAGGAGCCGAAGCGAGTTGGGTATGCGGAGAATATTAATGGTTGTCCCTCGGATTTATGGTTGTGCGTATACGTAGACGACATTTCTGATTATATGCAATAATAAGAAATGTTTATGTAATTTGGATGGGGCAAAAATCAATGTTGCCCTCTAAATAAAATGAATGTAGTTATTATTGATTATGGTATTTTTTTTTCTCGTCTTGTTGTTCCTGCTCTTCCCTGAAAATGTGTGATCTTTATACTTGCGATAAAGGGAACTACGGTTTACTGTTTAATATATAAATATAGAAATGATTTATTAATTTGACGTTTTCTTTGTAAAATAGTCTTTATCTCAGCTTAATCGCCCTTGTTTGTGATATGAGAATGTTTCCGAGTTGTTGTTCAGCAACCTGAGGTACCAATCGCTTCTTTTTAAATTAAACGAACCGGTCAAATATGGAAGTTTTGTGGATAAAGACTTGCATGAATGCAATATTAGTGAAGGGTCTTTGTTTGGGCCGGAGAATTTTGGATAACGTGCTTTGCGATAATAAATCGATTGTTTCATCGATTAACCTAATATGTACATCGAACATTCAATCTCCTATTGATATGAGAAGTATTATTGGAAAACGCAGTCTTTGTTTGCGATACCCTTGTTCCATAAATCTCCATATTTGGGTGGCATTGTTTGGAAATAATTGTATTATAGTTCTGTGTCATCATTGAACATAATAACTGAAGCGAGAAGAATAAGGAAAGTTGGGGCCACTAACAATTAGTAACGTTGCTCTTTGTTAAAAATTAACCCGTGTGCACTCGGTTAAGTCCCCGGATGGTCGAATTTAAACTACGATCCAGGGGATAGCGAATTTGTCCAATAGAATGATGATTTGTAATTAAATTAACTGGATCAAAAAATAACCGAAATTTCGGAAGAGAACAAACAGTTAGGAATGTCGTCATTGAACTTTGGGGGGTAATGGACACGAAGTTTCTCGTTCACGCTGACACAAAGGCTAGGAGACTTGTTGGCACTATGAATTGCGCTAAACATACGAGGTTAGTTGCCGAGTAATAGATAGCTTTTTCAAACATAGTCTTGCTGGTTAATCGTCTGGACCCCAAAATCGTGCACTGACAACAAATCGGCACGTTGTCGATCAATTTTAACATACAACCCAAAAATTTATAATTACCCAAAACGTTCCTATTTATAGGCACACATCCTGAAATTGATGTATTCATCCATGCCATATCCGGTTGGAATGGAGTCTATTGTTTATTATCAAGATTTAAGTAACATTAGCAGCAAAGTTTATCCGCTAAATAAATTGATAATAAATCATATATCATAAATAAATC